TGGAGATGGAACAGTGGAGGATATAAGAGTTTCTTAATGTCTACTCTAAGTAAATTCCTAGAATCCTTGATTTTTAGAACTTTAGAAATCTGCACAAGTGATTATAAAATGATCTTGCTAAAATTAACAGCTAGTAAGAGGCAGCAAACTGTAGTGGCTGAGAGCTAATAGAGTAAATGCAATATAAAACATGTGAATTACCAGAGGGAGAGTAAAGAAGTAAAAGGATAATGTTGAAGGGAAACATTAAAAAATAAAGTACAAGAAACAAAGCATAGAAAGATGACAACAATCCAAATACATAAAATAAATATTCAACAAATAAATATGTAAGTCTTCTGCTCTGTCACTGCAGGGTTGGGTCCATTTTCCCCAGGGTAGAACTGGAGGAGTAGAACCCCAGGGCTGCCATGCTACTAGGACTTCAGTGGTTCTAGTCCCCCCATCTGATGTTTTGGACTTTTGTTTCCTTGTAGCATTCTTACGAGCTACAACTTGGAACCCTTTCAGGGCTCAAGTTCTTTGAGAACAGAATTGATAATGTTGTTGTTGTTCTTGTTATTTGCCATCGAGTCGGCTCCGACTCATAGCGACCCCTCCTTGGGTTTCCGAGGCGGTATCACTACGGAAGTAGGATTGCCCAACCTTCCTTCCAAGGAGGGCTGGTGGGTTTGAACCGCCAGCCTTCTGGTTAGCAGTCAAGTGCCTTAGGCACTATGCTACCAGAGCTCCCAGAATTGATATAGGAGAATTGATATATAGCTTGCTGCTTCTAAATACAAAACCCTGTTTATTTTGCTTTATATCCCTATAGAATGTACCCCACCAGCCATCAAGACCTGGTATAACCAATCTGTGATACCAAGAAGTGAAGGCTTCTGTGCCAACATTGGTGGAGGTGGCGGCAGTGGCGGAGGCAGTGGTGGTGAAGGTGGTGGTGACGGCGGAAGTGGTGGTGATGGAGGCAGTGGTGGTGAAGGTGGTGGTGATGGAGGCAGTGGAGGAGATGGAGATTTCTGCACTGGCAAAGCAGATGGCATCTACAGTGATCCTGAAGACAACACCAAGTTCTACCAGTGTGCTGGAGGGAGGACCTTCCACTTCCAGTGTGCCCAAGGCCTAGTCTTTGACCAGAACTGCAAGTGTTGCAATTGGGCTTAAATGGAAAGTGTGGTAAAATTCTACTATATCACAGATTCTCTTGTGCTGCATGTCAAACTACATCTTCCAATATTTCATAGTCTATTATATCAATCTGTCACTTGAGAATCCCTGCCCTACTAAAATACCATGATAAGATTTCACTCTAGTAAAACCTAAAAAACTGCACACCCCTTGAACCAAATCCAGATGTCAAATAAATACGGCACAGCAAACTTTATTCTTTGTATTCATTTGTATTCTTGCTTATGTGCTTGTGTATACAATTAAGCATTTTAAAGGAACTAGAAGTTAATCTTAACCCACTGCCATTGAGTTGACGTACACTGGGTTTCCAATGCTGTAAATCTTTACAGAAATAGATTACCTCATCTTCCTCCCACAGAGCAGCTGGTGAGTTTGAACTGCTGACTCTCTGGTTAGTGGCCAAATGTCTTACCCACGACACCACCAGTGGTCCTTGGAAGTTAATCTTTCTGAAGGGACATTATTATTATTTTCTTTTATTATCAAATCAGTGGCTATTTTGGAAAATAGAGTTCCCATCCCCAGGAAAGGGCTTGAGTGGATGTACCAAACATCAGTGTGAAAGATGTTTTATCACCCCTGTCAGTATCTTCCAAAGAAGGAGCCCAAAATCCTGAGTCAGAAAAAAATCAACATTAAGCACATTCCCTCTGAAAAAACCAGCATGTGTATGTGTACACACACACACACACACACACACACTATGGATCCAAAGGAGAAAGAGGTTGGAGGTGTGTGGTGGAAGTGCTAAATTAATCCTGGCTTATCTCAAGATAATAAAAATCATCAGATTAAAAGGCACCTATATGTTGGGTGGGAGCTCTGGTAGCATAGTGCCTAAGGCACTTGACTGCTAACCAGAAGGCTGGCGGTTCAAACCCACCAGCCACTCCTCGGAAGGAAGGTTGGGCAATCCTACGTCCGTAGGATACTGCCTCGGCAACCCAAGGAGGGGTCGCTATGAGTCGGGGCTGACTCGATGGCAAATAACAACAACAACAACAATAACATATGTTGGGTAGTCTGTCTGGTGCAAATTATTAATGTGCTTGGCTGCTAACTGAAAGGTTGGAGGTTCGAGTTCACCCAGAAGTGCCTTGGGAGTGATCTACTTCTGAAAAATCAGCCACTGAAAACACTATGGATCAGTTCTTCTCTGACACACCCAGGGTCACCATGAGTTGACCTGAAGGCAACTGGACTGGACATATTGGGTAAGAGTTTTCAGCCTGAGGTATTGTGGTAGTTCAGTTTGCATGCCACCTTGGCTAGACCTGGTTGAGTGGCTGGGCAGCTGGATGAAGTTACCCCATGATGAGACTAGTAGTCAACACCATGGTGGAATTTACTGTGAGCAACTGAGTGGCTGCCTTAGGAAGGTGGTCTGCTTCCTGCATATAAGGAGAAGCCTTGGGGAATGGTCTCTAGCTTATGGCACTCTTGAACCCTACATGTAGCCGTGTTGTTCAGCGGCCTGCCATGCTCTGCCAACCTTGGGACCTTAATGGACGTGTGGTTTGGTAACATTGGGACTGTGCCTTTTCACTTGTCAACCTTGGGCTTATCAGTCTCAACAGCCAGCAGCTGTCTGAGTGAAGAAAAGCCTGTAGCTCCAGTGGGCCGGGAGCAGGAGGCAGAGCTGAAGCCGAGTAGAGGGGCTTTTACCCAGCCCCTAGAGGCTGGCACTTTGAACTTAGACTTAAAGCTTCCAAACTGTAAGAGAATAAACTTCTGTTTGTTCAAGCATCCCATTTGTGGTATATTCCTGTCAGAATGGCACTAGGTAACCAAAACAGGTGTCTTCATCATTATCTTAATATTCCAACTCGATTTCCCAATAGAGACTTTTTCATTCTTCAGCATTTCATTATTTCAGAAGAAGTTGACCCTTAAGAATTAGGGTCCAGAGCATCATAAGCACAGGAGGTTTCACCTCTTACTGTCCCTTTTTCCAGCTAACACTTAAATACGGCACAGCAAACTTTATTCTTTGTATTCATTTGTATTCTTGCTTATGTGCTTGTGTATACAATTAAGCATTTTAAAGGAACTAGAAGTTAATCTTAACCCACTGCCATTGAGTTGACGTACACTGGGTTACTTACCATAGGGTGGCCCTACTTACCTACCATAGGGTGGCCCTTAGAGACTATAGTAGGCTAGAGGCAGCAAAACCCAAAACAAACCAATTGCCATTCAGTCAATTATAATTCCTAGTAACTCTGTAAGGACAGAGTAGAACTACCCCCTAGGGTTTCCAACACTGTAAATCCTTATGGAAGCAGACTGTTACATCTTTCTCTCATGGAGCAGCTAATGTGTTCGAACCACTGACCTTTTGGTTAGCAGCTGAGCACTTTGACCACTGTACCACCAGGGCTCCTAGAGACACATGTGCCTGTGAATCCACCAGAGATGGAAAAGCACAGAGCTTTTCTGCAGCCGCTGGCAGCTTCTCACTCTTTGGTGTCCAGACACATGCATACCTGTCCCATCTTTGGTAATTTCTAAGAAGCCTAAGTGAGCACTAAAGGACCTTTCATTAAAAGATTAAATAAATCTCACAGAGTGACCATCCTGAAGGAACTACACTGACTGCAGTTACTGTTGGAAAGAACGGGGCTGATCTCCTAGGCCAGAGTATCTGGATAATGACTGTGGCTGCTTTGAGTTCTGACCTTCATACCTCCAGACTCACATGTGAGGTTTTAGGGGGTCATTTGACTTGGGGAGGCAGACCCAACCTGTAGCCACTCTGAGGCAGGGGGAGTCCTCACCAGGCCTCCAGGGACCCAGTAGATGAATGCATTTGGATAACTGCTGTATTTCCAGTTCTTAATACTCTGCCTGATGTTTAGTAGGAATATAATAAATTTATGGTGACTGATAGACTAAACAGATGATGTAATGGAAAGGGAAACTTTTGGTTCTGTGAGTTTTACATCAGTCCTGGAAAGGCAACCAAGCCAGAACTTACCCACTCTATGCTGGGAGACTCAAACCTGGAAGAGCTCCTGAAACATAAAGGTTTTACCCTGCCTTAAATATCTTCTGTATCTAGCAAGCCTCTCCAAGAAACCAAACTCACTGCCACTGAGTCGGTTCTGACTCATGCTGACCCCCACTGGGTTTCCAAGGCTATAAATCTTTACAGAAGTAGATCACCTCATCTTCCTTCCATGGAGCGGATGGTGGGATTGAACTGCTGACATTCTGGTTAGCAGCTGAATGCCTTATCCACTATGCCACCAGAGCTCCTTAATGCACCTATGACATTTGATTGCTAACCAGAAGGCTGGCAGTTCAAACTCACCAGCCACTCCTCGGAAGGAAGGTTGGGCAATCTACTTCCATAATGATACCGCCAAAGAGGGGTCGCTATGAGTTGGATCTGACTTGACAGCAGTGGGTTTGGTTTTAAGTGAGGCCAAATCCCATTGACATTCTTGATATGTATAGGCCCATAGCCTCTTCTTGCAAGGGTTAGAGGTCAAATATATAAAATGGGTGGCTGGGAATCAGAGCAAGAGGGCAGGACCCACCAGAATTTCACTCAAATGAAGTCACTCCACTGAACACCCAATCTGAATCCCAGGACTCATCTATTTATTAATGACCACAAATGAGTACATGAAGATAGAACACTGAACTAGTTTTAATGCTCTTACACAGCAATTGTAAGTCCCTTTCCCTTCCTGGGCCCCGTGCTGGCAGATAAGAGGGCCACAGTGACACACAGACAGAAGAGTGGCTCTGTCTTCATCCTGGAAATTCTGTAGTCAGAAGAAACCCATGAATGTAGTCACCGCCTCTCAATTGTAATACAGACTTAGGTAGGCCACACGGTTCCGATGCTTTCTAAACTCTTTGTCTGTGGACAGCTGCAATGACAGAATATTGTTAAGCTCAATATTCTAAAGAAAATCCTCCAATTCTGGTATCCCTGGCTGTACATTATAGCTGCGAGGCCCAGCTGAACTCCAACCCATAGTAATCTACCAGTTATATGAGGTGCCATCAAGTTGACTCAACTCACCCGACCTCATTTGTGTCAGAGTAGAACTGTGCTCCATAGGTTTTCAACTGCTGACTTTTCAGCCAGGCCTTTCTTCTGAAGTGCCTCTGGGTAGACTGGAACCACCAACCTTTTGGTTAGTAGCTGAATGTGTTACAAATTTGCACCATCTGGGACCCATAGTAATCTAGCCTTAGTGATTGTCTCAGCATTCGTATATACATCCTCCTGCTACCATCTCAGTCTGGTTCATATCATGTTAGGAATTATTTGCTAATTCAATGTATACATTCTTTCTCCAAATAGATGGAATGCTTCTTGAAGACAAAAATTATACACCTAATTCTTGAGTGTCACCCACAAGCTCTAGCACAATCCTATTAATACATTAAGCATTTAATGAATATTTGTGGAATTAACTGAATGTTCCACTAGAAGACAATAGGCACCTTGGAATATTATGATTGCTAGCTCTGGTAGCATAGTGGCTAAGGCACTTGACTGCTAACCAGAAGGCTGGCGGTTCAAACCCACCAGCCAATCCTCAGAAGGAAGATGGGGCAATCTACTTCCGTAGTGATACTGCCTCGGAAACCCAAGGAGGGGTCGCTATGAGTCGAGTCCAACTCAACGGCACATAACAACAACACAACAAGAAGCATGGATTTAGTGTTTATGAGGTACTGTGCTAAATGCTTCATTATCTCAATTAATTTTCATATTTTATCAGGTAGATTGTATTATACCCATTTTACAGATAAGAAAAAAGAGGCTTTGATAAATTAAGGGGCTTACTTAAGATTACATAGCAAGTAAATACTGGAGCTAGTAAATATAGGCAGTTTGTTACCAGAATCCATCTTAACCAGAATGCTCTACAGCTCCTTGATAATCTAATACTCCAGGGATGTGATGGAAAGAGCACTGGATAAGGAGACACAAGACCTTAATTTGAACTATGCAACCTCAACAAGTCACTTTAATCCTTCTGAGTTTCAGTTTCTGTCTCTATCATACAGGGATCATTCTCCTTTATCTACCACATTAGATTTTTTTTTTTTTTTCCCCTTTTAACTTTTTGAAGGTTGGGTAATCTACTTCCATAGTGATACTGCCTCGAATACCCAAGGAGGGGTCGCTGTGAGTCGGGTCTAACTAGACGGCACATAACAAGAACAACATTGTGATTTGGGTGAAAGTTTACAGAGCTAATTCATCTTCCATTCAACTGTTCATGAACATTTTGTTTCATGACATTGATCGCAGTCGCCACATTGTAACCGTTTTCTTTCTACTTCCTCCATGTGGTTATCTTTTCCCTGTGTCCTTCTTTCCCACGCATTCCTGCCTTCTACACAAACTCTGACCTTCTGATCCCCTGTGGTTGATTTTCCAGCCACTCTGCAGAAGGAAGATGGGGCAACCTACTTCTGTATAGGTTTATTGCCTCAGAAACCCAAAGGGGTCGCTATGAGTCGGAATCAACTTGATGGCAGTGAGTTTGATTTGGTTTTTTGCTCCTCCTTGTTGTAATTATTCACCTCTTACATCTGTTGTTTGTCTGAAGGTTAAGCTACCCTGAGAGTGAGTTCAATTCCAGACCCAAAGGGTGACTAGTGGCCACAGTCTCAGGGCTTTCACCAATCTCTATCAGATCAGTAATCTTGGTCTTTTTCATGATTGTGAGTTTTATTCCACATTTTCCTCCCACTCTATCCAGGATTTCCAATTTTGATCCCTTTCTGAGTGGTTGGCAGTAGTAGTTGGGCACCATCTAGTTCTTCTGATCTTAGGGTTGTGTAGGCTGGGATTCTCATGGTCCATTAGTGCCTAGGACTAATTGTTTCCATGTGTCTTTGATTTTCTTCACTCATTTTTGCTCTGGATGAGGAGAGACCAATAGTTGCATTTTAAATGGCTGCCCGCAAGCACTTAAGACTCCAGTAACTACTCATCAAAGTATGATGTAGAACAATGTTTTTGGGTGCTACGTTATGTCAATTCAGCTTAATGTCCCCAGGGACCATGGTCCTGAGCCTGCAGGCCCAGTGACTCACTCTATCTGTTTGGTTGTGGCTAAGAAGTTAGCCCCAGGGACAACTCAAGGACGCACAAAACAGCAGGGCAGAAGAGCAGGAGAAAGGGGATTAAAAGCCAGGAAGCCAGACAGAGGTACAGTCAGCCACAGG